GTGACGGGACGTACACTGTACGTCTCCCGTCACAAAGGGGTTAAACTAACCTTTTTCTTGCAGTCTTCAGGCTGTTTTTTCTTCCTTAGCAGCAATGGTAGGCGGTACTTCCTTCATTACATGAAGTGTCATGCAGTCCAAGAATACCGTGAGCCCTGGGAGGGCATACCATTAGCTGCTATATTTACATATGATTGAGTTGCGGCTTATTGATATGCAAATACCGCCACCATTCATTGCTAATATCTCCGCAGGTGACAGCTTCCTGGACCGTGCAGACTTCCAGCAGACTCTGAAGAGAGCACAGAGCAGAGGGAAGTGGAAGCGGGGCTCAGACTATATGAAATTGAAGCGTAGAGCCCCGTCCATACCGCTGCTCCTGTGTATGGAGGCAGTGTTTTTCTGCCCTCCCCCATCAGTGCCCTCAAGTGGCAGCTTGTGCTGCCTGTATGGTAGCGCCGGCCCTGAAGCATTAAAGTCTGTGACAGCTGTATGTAGTGTCACTACTATCGTGGGTGGGAGAGGCAGGGAGCAGCACTATCTCGGGAGGGGGGAGGGGCAATTACCCAATTTTTCCCCCTGGATCTTCCACTGCTGGGACTGACAGAAGGCAGTAGGCGGAGCAAAAGCCAGCTTGCTATTGCACTTTGAAATAGCCAATAGCAGAATAGCTGCCTCTCACTGACTTCTGTCAGTCCCAAAGGATCGGACCTGAGGGAGAAAGTTTTCTTTCAGGTCCGCTTCTCTACTGATTGACAGAAGGTTGTGGGCGGAGCAATAGCCAGCCTGCTATTGACTATTGCAATTTAAAATAGCCAATAAAAGAATGGCTATTGCTCCTGCAAATTTCTCTCTCAGGGCCGCTCCTCTGTGACTGACATCAGACTTTGGGCAGAGCAATAGCCAGCCTGCTATTGGGTATTTCAATTTTAAATAACCAATAGCAGGCTTTGATTATTTCCGCCCCCTGCCAGATGTAAACATTTTTTTCAGGCTGAGTACGAGTACTGATACTTTTTCTCAAGTACTCGCCTATACCAATTACCAATACTTTTTTAGTGTCATGTGACAGTTTTTTAAAAACAATACAGACTAATGATTTTAGGACAGTGGTAAAGCACCATGGTCCGGCCCCAGCTGCAGCTGCTGCACCCCTGGTAATTCTGCCACTGACTCCAAGCTGTAGAGGGACTACAAATCTCAGCAATACATTGTACAGCAATGCTGAATGGCAACCGGCTATAGAAGACTACAAATCCCAGCAACACATTATACAGCAATGTCGAATGGCAACTTGTTATAGAGGACTACAAATCCCAGCAATATTGCTGTATGATGTATTGCTGGGATCTGTAGTCCTCTATAGCCGGTTGCCATTCAGCATTGCTTTATAATGTATTGCTGGGATTTGTAGTCCTGTATAACGGTAGCTATTATAATACCATCAGCTGGACTACATCAGAGGACTACAAATCCCAGCAATAAATCAGACAGCAATGCAGCATAATAGGAAGCTACATACTCTGCTGCTCTGGGGTGACGGTCTGATGTCTCCAGCCGAGAGTCTGTGCAGAAGGCTGTGCAGGGTCTCAGGTGGGCTGTGCAGGATCTTAGGAGGAGGACTGTGGAGGATCTCAGAAGGGCTGTGAAGAGTCTCAGGAGGGCTGTGTAAGGTTTTAGAAGGGCTTTGTAGAGTCTCAGGAGGGTTGTGTAGGGTCCCAGGAGGGCTATGTGGGGTCTCAGGAGAGCTGTGTGTTGATGTGGTGCAATTGGGGAAAAAATGTTTTCCGTGCAATTGCACCCCAGTGGAACTCGGTGTCATTGTGGTAGCATGAATTACCCTGTGTGGGGAGGGTCCAATTTAGTGGTAAAGTGTGTTCATGTCATGGGACTGTGAGAAGAAGGTAGGTGGATGGTGTGAATGTTGAAAATGCATTTTCTTTAAGGCCTCATTCACACAGCTAAGTTCCGGTCCGTACAGATCCGTGCGCGGTCCGTACAGATCCGTGCGACACCTGTCCTTCCCGGGAATGGCCTGATACGGCACGAATAGGATAATGCGGCATAAATGCAGAATTTGTGAGTGCTGGGAGATATGGAAATAGTGGTTGATGGTGTAGAAACCTTTTAGGCCTTTTTCACACTGCATTAGGTCAGGCCGTACACGTCTATGTGGTGTGCATGCCCGTATCGGGAGGGACAGGTGCAGCGTGTCCCTCCACTGCCATATGCACACCCATGCTCGGACGCAGACAGGATGGATCCCAGACACCCAGACCTGCATGGATGTACAGTTTGGGTGTGCGTATGACAGCGCACGGCCATGTCCTCCCATAGAGAACAACAGGCTACTACACGCAGCACCTGTGCCTCCCAGGAACGGCCCGGTGCGGGCATGCATGGCGCACGTCTACATATGAATGAGAAATGACAGTGCAGAGTATAGAGCAGCATGTGATTGAGGCACTTTGTTTAGAATTGGCTGGCATCCC